AACGTAATAAATATAATGTCTGTCTTCGGTGTAGAAAAGATTCAGTATAAACTATAATTATTATAGATAATCATGTTCAGATGGTTCAACGAATGATTGGCACTCAACAATTTGGCACTGGTGGATCTTCGGGATATCAGTATTTAAGATCAACACTCAGGTAGTATATTACATTAAATAACAAAGTTAATTTCTTTTTACAACAAAACTAATTATTTATCTTACAGTGATCGCTATAAAGTATTCATAGACTTGTTCAATCTATCCACATTTTTAATTCCACGAAACTGCATTCCTGTTTTATCTCCTGCTATGAAACGTAGATTGTCAATGATGAAAGAAGATAGTATTGATGAAGATTGTGAAGATTTAGTAGAATATGACCAATAGTTTTAATATAGTATAGAAATTTCCATCATCATCAGAGATATTTTTTTGGTTTTCATTGTATTGTATTGCATTTGTTTTTTTCATGAATCATACCATGATTCATATAAATTAAATGCAATGCATTTTATTTTATAAAAAAAAAATTACTTATTCAAAATAAGTATTTTAAAATAAGAATTCTAAATTTCAAAATAAGAATTTTAAAGGTAGTTAGTTACTTACAGATGTATACAGGATGAGTCAAAAGTCCCTTGCACTCTTTTCATTCCAAATGTACTGAAGATATATTAATTTTGTTAATATAGACACATAGGTAGGCATGCACAAAGAATAGGATGGAACCTTTTTGTTGACCTTGAAATCACTTTAAAAAGGTTTCATCCTATTCTCAATGAAAGCCTTCCCAATTGTGGATCCGGAAATCTTTAGATGGGGGTGCAAAAAAATAAAATAATATACTTTAAAAATTTTTTTACTAACTGAGGTACTTGGCTTTACTCAGGAAAACCCTCAGAAGGGGGGTGCAGTTGTAGTCTACATACCTGTAAATTTACCCATATGCTTTACTATGTAATTACATTAACAAAATTAATATAATTTCAGTACTTTTGGAATGAAAATGGGGCAGGAAACGTTTCAGTCATCCTGTATATATATCTGAAAGTAACACCTATGGTTCTATATATATATGCAGAAGCATATATTTCAGTTGTACAATCCAAGAAGGCATATTAAAACAAAATGATTAAGCATCAAGAAGTTTGAACTAAGATTTTTTCATTTAGACTTTCTCTAGTGATAAATAAACATTGAAAATTTTATGAAATTTTATACAGCAGAAGTAGTATATCATAATCTCTGTAATTTAGTAAATTTTAATGTAACATAAAAATTAAATTTTACTTCAAATTTTCATTTCAGATATTCAGTAAACTGCTTCTTCCTCTATTTCAATTATACAACATAATAACACTTTTATTATTCATATTTAAATTAAGACCTAAATGAGAAAAGCTTTTGGGTCTTCTATATTTCATGCCCAATTAACTAATGCTGTGAAATTCTGATTCATAGTTAAGATGGGTTTAGTTTCTGAGGGATTTATTAAGAGATAAATCCCTTATTGATAGATGTGTCAATAAATAGTCCTTCATATTAACAAGGATAAACTAGCCAGTATAGTTAATCAGCTGAAATAATCAATGAACTTTTAATTAATAGTATCAATAGATAAAGTTGAAATTCTAACATTTTTGGCCTGGTTAATAAGCCATCCTTAAGCATGGACAGATGAAAGTTTTTTGTCCATGCCTGAGAATGCCCCATTAATTGGACTGAAAACATTAGCCGTTTATTCAACTTCACTGACTGTTAAAGGTCTATTGATTAATTCAGCTAAATAGTCTTTTTTTTTTTATAACTTATGCAAATAGTATTAATTAATATACAGTATCAGACCAAATATCAGACTTCCAGAAATCTGGAATTACCAGGAAACTTTTTGAATTTGGCATGGTGTGCAGTCACTCTGTTTTAGTTTGCATGATGTATTATACAGTACAGTATAATACGTGGTATATGCATTGCATGACGACAGTTCCAGTGAGACTGCTGGCCTACACTGCATTAAATACAATTTTATTCTTTACTTTTCATCCTTTATTTTATATTTCAAGTAGGTATCTATTTTGCCTTTGTCCAGAAAACTAGAAATCAAGAAATCTGGACCACTTCTGGTTCCGAGCTTGCCTGATATTTGGTCCAATACTGTATCAATAACGATATGAATCATTGCTTATTTTTAATAGTTGGAGCCAATGATTGTCTCTTACTTATTTAATGTACTTTCATTAATATTTCTTTTCTTTATTATTACCTTTTCATTTTTAAAGTTAATTTTTTAATTAACTAGTATAAACAACACTAACAAATTTCAGGAATCCAAACTGTAATCAAATACAATCAGGATTAAACATTTTTCAGGACTTTTCTCATCCCATCTTAGAATTTTCCAGCTTTTGAACATATGTTCCAACATGTATTCGTATCATGATACAAAAGATTCAATCAAATCGAATATCTGTAAAAACTTATAATGCCTTCGGAACGTGATCAAATTTTAGGAGTCCAATCCTGAAATTTGTTAGCATTGTTTATAATAATTTAGTGCTTATGGAGTCAAAATTGACATCCAATTATTATATCTTATTTAAATAATGCTTTAAATTAGATTAAAAAACTGATGATTTCAGTTGCTAAATTATAATTGAGCTTCAACTTTTTATTGTATTATAAGCAAATTACAAGCCTTATTCATGAATAAATGAACTGTTGTAATGTTTTACCATTAAAGTTTTGCATAATGCATATAATATAACCTTGATTTTTGTCATAATTATTGTTTATGTTAAAAAAAACTTTTGCTTTCCTCATTTTAAAGAATTATAATATCTTTATTTTTTATTTTGTTTTTATCACATCAAAAGAATGCATTAAAATACCACATTATAGTTAATTCAGTACAACACTAGAACAGGAATCTAACATGGAAATAAAAATATCATAATTTAAAATGAAGATAAAATGAAAATATTTATCAAGTTCTTAATATAGTATAATGAATAGTTTAAACTGAATTTCCACAAGTATGATTTCAATTTGTGACACTAATTCTATGGGAATCATTAAACAAAGCTTATTTCAATTAATAATTGTCCACTTAATAATAGTTTTCCAGGAACCGATTACATCACAAAAGCAGAGTTACAGTAATAGTTTCTACATTTATCAACTTCATAAAAAAGATTATAATAAATTTAAGGAGTCAGAAAACTATGACACACTAAAATACTGCACAAACTGTAGTATCAAGCAATATCCAATATGATGTATGATCCATGTTATAATGGTTACGTGTATGGAATGAGGATGTATTTTATAATATAGAATTATGAATAACAAGCAATTATTTATTGTAACATCGTCACAATTCCAGGCTGCAATTTTTAATTTATTTTACTTAAAATATATGCTTTCCACCTCAAATTAGTACTTTAGTGTCTTTCCCCTGTACATCATACATTTCCTGTAACAGTAGAGTTGTGCCAGTCATCTATCTAATACTTTTTGGGAGAAAATTTGTGAATTGAAATAACATAACTTCTGGTTCGCATTGGAAGTTCTTATATAGTTAATCAGGGTTTCTTTTATCTATATAAGAAACTTTCTGTCTCAATACACATTTCATCCCAAATAAAATAAATTTGACTCCCTAAATCTGTTATAGCAATTTTGGACTTTTGTTTACAATGCTTCAAAATTAGTGAAATTTTGTACTCTTAACATCAGAGTATGAAGTTTAACCTAAAACATTAAGTGAATAAATTTCTTTATTCCCAAAATTAGTGATGTTGGAGTTTATTTTTATCTATTATTAATTGATGGCCAGATGGTGGGAGTAGTTAAGGCATCATCCTAATGCTCTGGAAGACTCAGGAACAAATCTGGGCAAGCAATTCTAGGAATTTTTAAGGTGGTCTGTCACAGATACATTGAGCCCCATAACTCACCATCTGCCCATATGAGTATGATTAATTAATGATTAAAGAGATCTCTTAGTGCCTTGATGAAAACATAAAAAAATACAGTAGAGCCTCGAAAACTCGGCCTAATGTGGACCGAAGGGTGGCCGAGTTTGTGAAAATGCCAGGTTATCGGGAATGGGGTTAAAAAAGGATAAGTATGCGTGTTTCCTCAGAAAATATTGTACTGTACTTGTATGTATTGTTTGCTTGAGAATACAACAGAGAATAAACTGCCCAAATACCCTTAAACAAAGGAAAAGTACGTCCTTTATGAAGGCATAGAGCCTTTACTACATGAAAATGAAAATTAATGAATACACTGTGTACAGTAATTTACCTGATAAGACAGACCTCAGAAAAATACTTTATGAGGTATAAAGCTGTCTATAATGAAAATTAATTAACTAAGGATTTTTTTTTGCCCTGTAAGGTGTGGCCGAGTTATCCGGAGTGCCAGGTTATCGAGTGCCGAGTTTTCGAGGCTCTACTGTATTAATTTAAGGATCATAGAAAACAGAGAGAAGTCAAAATTTTAATATTTTTAATGGATGTGTGGGTTAAAGTGGCACCCTGCCACTCTGGAGATTTGGAATTGAATCTGGTTGGGTTGAAAATTTACAGGAATTTTTCAGGCATGGTCTATCTGTACATGTCAGGTCCCATCCCTCACCATCTGACTGACCCATTGTGGGCCTGACCAAACTCATAATGGTCTCACTAAAACTTTGGCTTTTTTAATGACTTCAGGGTGAAAAGAGTTATGTTAATCAAACAAGAAGCATTTTATAATACTATTATTTGTAATTGTTGTAACTCTAACATAACTATGAATGATTTTGATTTCTTTGTTTGTTGTCTAATGCATGGTTCAGTCAAGTTTCAGTTATATATTCTGTTTGCAGAAGCTTAGAATTTGTATTATTTTTTATAAATCCATTTTTAAAAAATAAAACATAAAGCATGATATTTAAGATTTAAGAAATAAAATGAACTTTACAAAATTAATTGTTTCATCAAATTAACTTTTATTCTTAACCATCTCTTGATATCAAAATACATCAATAATATAAAAAATTTCAGTTAATATTAAGTATAATTAATTCTAAAATTCAAAAGAGATTCATTTTATATTTTTAAATATTGATTACATTATGCTATATTATGTAAGATGTATTAACACATTTGTTGCCAGTTGATGCGATTTTGCATCATGTGGTCACATGATGCTGAATTATGTCAACTGGCAGTGAATGTGTTAAATTAAATGGAGAAATATACACTTCATATACACTAGAATATGTTTTTATATATTAATAATTGTTCCAATAAAAAATTTAAAAATCAATCTATCCCTATTTTTTAAAAAGTTCAATAGTTAACTTTTTTTAGATATTTTGTTAGTAATTTAAAACGTTTTCAATTTAAAAATTAAGATATTCTAATTATTTAATGGTTGATGTAAAGCTTTGAATTCCTTTAAATATTAATTACTGGTATACAAAAAATTTACAACAAAAATTCTTTAATGTAAATATAATTTTAGCTTCATACAACATCCAATGCTGACACTTCTAGTGCAATACCTGAAAAAATAAAAATCAAATAAAACTTTGTAAACATACAGTATTTATATTTATATTTTTTAATAT